GGAGCTGAACTGGAATCATTCCATACGGTTAGCATTATTAATCAAGTCACGTGGTTCTGGACTCACACGTCTGCAAAAGCCAGTTAATTCATAATTAAAACAAAGATAAATGTACATGAAAAAGACTTAAAAAGACTTCTCTGGGATGGCAGCGTCCTACGTGATTCAATCCACCGCTTATCTTAACTCATATAAAGAACTCTGTAGTTATTCATGAAGGAAATCTTTCACAAAACGCCCCAAAAGCCTCACTGCTGTGCGTTGCCTTCACAATGGGGACTCAGAGGCCATCGCTCTGAGGAAGAAACGGCTTCAGATGAGACGTATTTATCGTGTTTCTCAAAGCAACTTTGAAGATAAAGCTCAGCTTCAGTGCAGAGGCTGCAAGCTTTCTCTGCAAAGTTAAACCTAATGTTCAACTTTCTCTGTCTGTATGTTAAATGCTGTCTAAATCAATTTGTGATTAAATATGTCAGACTGCCAGTCTCAACACGTGCCAACGAAGCAAACTTTTCTTTGTGACCCCGTCTGTTCCTCTGTGAGGCCTCGAAGCTTTCTGGTTGGTGGAGCTGATCGATTCAACTGGGAGCACCTGGCCAGTCTCCCTGAAGCATTTAATTGAATGCTTTTTCAAGCTGGAAGCTATGCAGACCCTTTGACATAACCTATGCGTGTTGCCAGCATTTATACCTGTGCGACTGTCGCAGAGAGGTGCAGGGTTTCAGAAAGGTTTGCAGCCACAGCAAAGCTACTGTGCAGCGTGGTTTAATCCGTCTGCCAGCCTTTGTTCTCGCTCTTCATCCACCCAGCACCAGACTGGTCGTTCGATTGGCTTCAGCCACATTGATTTACAATTCAAACCATTAAACAGCTTCTGCCCATCATTGAAACCATCATCTAACTGCTGGATGGACGAGTGTTTCAGTGGCATCATTCACTACCTCACTTTCATTCATTAGCATTAATTAACATTAATTGTGCCTTTTTGTTCTTTGTTGGTTGATAAATCGGTAAATTTGGGTCAAAACTGTGTCTTTCCAAATACGTGTCATCAGTCTTTACCCATTATAATGTATTAAATTAAACACAGTCTCCTACAACCTCTAACTAGGTCGAGTATTTATTTTTTTAAATTGAATAAGCAGTGAGGGTATTTAAACTGTAAATTACTGGATGCAGCAGATATTATTTTAAAAGACAGGGATTCACCAGAAAAGCAGCATTCATGGCTGCTGCTAATTTCAGATTCTTACTGACATTCACTGCTTTATTTTCTCGCACCGTGCTGGAGAGGAATTGTGTTGTAAGTGCAAACCCACCATTCTCTGCAGCAGCAAATTTAAGTCTTGCAGGAAGCAATGAAACTAGACGGCACAGCAGCACTGAGCTGTTACATTAAGTGCAATGGACAACAATTTTTCAGCAGGAAAGAAAAAGAAAAATCAGCGTGCAGTCTCTCAGGCCACAACAG